TATGCACAACGAGCTTACTATTACATAATCGCTTTAGGACAGTGATAGTAAGTGTTAATACAACCGCCAAAATGATATGTCAATAGCTAGCATTGACATGCCTACCACTAGCAAAGTTGCATTTTTTCCAAACAAGTGCTGTAAAACGCTTACTTTTGCATTAAAATATTGAAAGTGTGATCGTTTTATAGATTGCATTCTTCTGATTAAGTATAAATAATTACAACCGTTTGAGAAAGCTAGACACACAAGTCTAGAAATCATAAATTATTTTAAAAAGATAACATAACACAGTAATTTCACTTGCGGTGTTCCAAGGCTTAACTTATTAATTTTAATTAGCCTGAATATGCACAACGAGCTTACTATTACCATAATCGCCTTTAGACAGTGATAGTAAGTGTTAATACAACCGCCAAAATGATATGTCAATAGCTAGCATTGACATGCCTACCACTAGCAAAGTTGCATTTTTTTCCAAACAAGTGCTGTAAAAACGCTTACTTTTGCATTAAAATATTGAAAAGTGTGATCGTTTTATAGATTGCACTCTTCTGATTAAGTATAAATAATTACAACCGTTTGAGAAAACTAGACAGACATGTTCTGAATGTGTCAATGACCTTAGTTGTTAGAACGATGTGGAATCATGAACAGTTCTGTATTGCAATGTTGTCTAGAAATCATAAATTATTTTAAAAAGATAACATAACACAGTAATTTCACTTGCGGTGTTCCAAGGCTTAACTTATTAATTTTAATTAGCCTGAATATGCACAACGAGCTTACTAAAGGGTGTCCCAAAATTAACGCAAGATTTGAATTTGCCGCCATTTGTGCAGTGAAGTGTTGGCAACCCTGAAAAAAAGCAATTTGACAGCTAACAGTATAGGGTTATGAAAAATGGAGCGTTACACGATAGAACAACGTGTCTTCATTATTAAAGAATATTTCAAAAATAGTGAAAGCTTGGCGGCTGCAGTTCGAAAATTTCATACAAAATATGGCCGGAATAGTGTTTTAACTTCGTCAACTGTGAAGAGATTAATTGAAAAATTCATGGAGACTGGATCCGTTGGAGACGCCAAACACACTGGTCGTCCAAAAACAAGCCGTTCAAATGTGAATATCGAAGCAGTGCGTGAGAGTGTTGCGGACAATCCAGGAACCTCAATTCGACGTCGTGGACAAGAATTGCAAATGTCAAGAACCTCTCTACAGCGTATACTCACCAAAGATCTGTGTCTTCATGCTTACAAACTTCAATTAACACAACAATTGAATCTTAATGACCATGCAGAGAGAAGAGAGTTTGTTGAATGGATTATTGAACATCAACAAATGGACCCTGATTTTTCAAGCAAAATCATCCTAAGCGATGAAGCACATTTTCATCTTGATGGCTTTGTCAATCGCCAAAATTGCCGCATTTGGGATTCGGAGAACCCACGTGTGATTGTCGAAAAAGAAATGCACCCACAACGCGTGACTGTCTGGTGTGGATTTGGGCTGGAGGCATAATTGGGCCATATTTTTTTGAAAATGATGCTGGTCAAGCAGTGACTGTTACTGGTGCTCGATATCGCGACATGATTACACAGTTCTTTTCTGCCAAAATTGAATGATATTGATGTACCCAATATGTGGTTTCAACAAGACGGTGCCACATGTCATACAGCCCGTGAAACAATTCAATTACTGCATGAGACATTTCCCGGTCGTGTACTCTCTCGTTTCGGTGATCAAAATTGGCCTCCTAGATCGTGTGATTTAACACCATTAGACTTCTTTTTATGGGGTTATTTGAAATCACAAGTCTATGTCAACAAGCCCACAACCACCCGTGCATTAAAGGAGGAGATTCAACGCTGCATCAACGAAATTCAGCCACATTTATGCAGAAGGGTCATGGAAAATTTCGACAAAAGAGTGCGCATGTGCATGCAAAGCCGTGGAGGCCATTTGTCCGATGTGTTATTCCATACATAACCCTATCCTATGTACTTATGAGTCAATAAAAATATAACTATTAAAAGACTAAAAATGGCATTGTCTATTTAATTCAAATCTTGCGTTAATTTTGGGACACCCTTTATTACCATAATCGCCTTAAGACAGTGATAGTAAGTGTTAATATAACCGCCAAAATGATATGTCAATAGCTAGCATTGACATGCCTACCACTAGCAAAGTTGCATTTTTTTCCAAACAAGTGCTGTAAAACGCTTACTTTTGCATTAAAATATTGAAAAGTGTGATCGTTTTATAGATTGCACTCTTCTGATTAAGTATAAATAATTACAACCGTTTGAGAAAACTAGACAGACATGTTCTGAATGTGTCAATGTCCTTAGTTGTTAGAACGATGTGGAATCATGAACAGTTCTGTATTGCAATGTTGTCTAGAATCATAAATTATTTTAAAAATATAACATAACACAGTAATTTCACTTGCGGTGTTCCAAGGCTTACTTATTAATTTTAATTAGCCTGAATATGCACAACGAGCTTACTATTACCATAATCGCCTTAAGACAGTGATAGTAAGTGTTAATATAACCGCCAAAATGATATGTCAATAGCTAGCATTGACATGCCTACCACTAGCAAAGTTGCATTTTTTCCAAACAAGTGCTGTAAAACGCTTACTTTTGCATTAAAATATTGAAAAGTGTGATCGTTTTATAGATTGCACTCTTCTGATTAAGTATAAATAATTACAACCGTTTGAGAAAACTAGACAGACATGTTCTGAATGTGTCAATGTCCTTAGTTGTTAGAACGATGTGGAATCATGAACAGTTCTGTATTGCAATGTTGTCTAGAAATCATAAATTATTTTAAAAAGATAACATAACACAGTAATTTCACTTGCGGTGTTCCAAGGCTTAACTTATTAATTTTGAAGCATCTGGAGTTTCGATCCATTTTTACTACTCCTTATTCCAGAACCTGCTCCAGTGAAGTTGGTGTTAAGAATAAAATCCATTGTCAGTCATACAGAAATAAATAATAAATGCAAACTTTATTAACAAAGGTTTCTTTGCAGAGAAGCGCTGAAAGATATGAAAGAGCACAACATCGATGGACACATCTTTAACATCAATAGCATTGCAGGACACTATGTTTTGAATTACCCAAGGATAGAAGTCTACACAGCTACCAAACACGCGGTCACAGCTTTGACAGAATTAATGAGGAAACAATGGCAGTGCAGAAGTCAAAAGTCAGGTTTACGGTAGGAGCTTCAAACTGACACTTGGTAAAATGGTTTTATGCGGATGATTATTCTTTGGAAAGAATTATATATTTTTTGAGGATATATATACGTATATATATATATATATATATATATTTATAGAGCAACCCGCTTATAATGGACTCGGCGAGAAAAAAGCAGCAGAAATAGCATATCAAATGTGTTTGTTTAACACGTATTACTTAAATAAAGATACATACAAAAAAGTTATACGTAATTTTGAAATTTGCATTTTTTCAGGATCTGATACAAATATTACAGGCATACGTACTGTGAAGGTATGTGTAAGATCCGTAAATTATTTGGTGAAAAAGCTAGTAATTTTCATTTGAACAGACTGTTTTTTTGTATAATTATTTAGAACAGCAAGTTGAATTTTGTTTAATTTGGTTTGTGTGGCTGTGCTGCCTTCTTCTTGCTGAAAATAACTTTTTCACGCAGTCTAATGCCTCCTTAGTGGTCACTGTCTTCCTGTTCGGTATCAACGGATCCTTCATTACCAAACTGGGTCTGACAATTCCTGTGCTGCTATTAAATTGTTGTCAACATTTACGTACTCATTAAATTTGTCTATATTCAGTAAACCATTAATTTTCAGTAAATCATTTAATGGAATTCATCTTCTGGATTAAAGTCGTTGACTATTTCAGTTATGTTTTCACTAAACCAGCATGGCGAAAACAGTTACGAATCGTTTCTGGAGTAACCAATTCCCATGCAATATTAAGGAAATTTGTAGCATCTAAAATGGTGACAGCTTTGGTGATGTTGTCATCTTCTTGAAGCTCCATAATTTTCCGATGCATTTGTATAAGACTCCAAATGACACCCTGGTCCACGGGTTGCAGAACTGATGTCACATTGGGTGGAAAAATTTAAGGCTGATGTTATGACGTGAAATATTTGGATGGGCGGTTTTCGACCAGAGCAAAATTTTTCGATTTTTGTTAACAAGTTCAGCGTCCCACTTTTTCAAATATTCTTAAAAAATTCATGAAGTCATCCAGGCTTTATTATTTCCAGCATAATCGACGGGAATTGCTTTAACATTTTTGAAACACATGGGATTTTTAAATTTCCCTGAAATAAAAAAAGGTCATAAATTCTTTGCAGCACTGCCAGTGATTATCAAAAAAATTGGAACATGAATTTCTATTCATTCACTTACCTATTATCAATAGTTTCCGCTTTTCAGTACCAGAACCATTAGCACAAATCATAACAGTTATCCGCTCGTTTGATAGTTTCCCTCCATTCACCTTTTAATTTATGAAAAAAGCTAGCTACGAACATGTATGAGGAAATATATAAAATGAGAGATATGCTTTTCCTCGCTCTTCAAGAAGTTTGCTCTAGCCGACGATTGACAGTCCAGACCCATTCGAGCAGCGGAGGCCGACTGCTAGGCAACATTTATCCGCCGGACCGCAAAACACGTATGGTCGACACGCAAGGGTCGGAAACATTTGACCATCATTCTAAGCTTTATTTTATGCGTCTGATAGGTGCATAAAATTATCGCGGCTGGATACGTATAGGTATACCATCGTCAAAAAACCCTCCCCCATTCCCTACAATCTTCAACAACGTAATTTTTATCTCATAAATTTTTCAGGATCCTAAGAAACGTCAAAAAATGAATTTTTAGCGATTTTTGCTTTTTTAATTTTTTTTTCTACTAGCTCTGTCGCCACTCGAACGATTTTCAAAAGCTATTAAGTTTTTTTGTTCTTGGCATAGTAGTAAACTTTTTTGGAAATTCCACCAAAATCCGATCAGTACTTTCCAAGTTATAGCGAGGTCAAGCGGACAGACGGAATTGAGTGACATGGTATTTCGTGTTTTGCATGTCACATAACATTACAATTCGATTACAGTACTCTCCATTGGCGTAGGTAGTAAAAAACAAAAATTGTTATGACTTAGGGGATTCTGGGTTCCAGGCTATCCACTTCTAACTTTTCTCTTGAATAACGTATGTAATTTCAACGATTGTAAACATATATAGTGCTTGTTTACAGAGTATCAGCCCTGGTTTGACTGATACAGAAATGATAGAAGATGCTAAAAAGTTGAACCTGATAAAGGATACTTCACCAGTTCTGTACCCAGAAGATATAGCAGATGCCGTTGAATATGCCTTATCTACACCTCCCCATGTGCAGGTAACTATCACCTAAAATAATACGATATTTCCTTAATAAACCTAAATGTACATACCAAGAAGTGAAAGTTATCGATGTTAAGAATGTCTGGGTGCAAGGCCAGCTGCTAGGTTGATAGGCATGTCAAAACATGAATGAAGTGACCTCGGAAATGGCTAGGTTATGGAAAGATCAGCAATCACCAACTTGCATCTATACAGGGTGGACAAGCTAAATTATTTAATTTCTTTATTTTCAGGTGCACGAAATTATGATTCGACCAACTGGAGATGCCCTTTGAATTGCTTATCCGGATATTGAGTTGGGATTTTATTGTGTTTGTGTCACAATATTCATGTTGAGTAATACAATTTCAACCTTTCCTAGAGTTTGAAACACTTTGTATACAGCCAGCTGAAATTTAACACCTCCAATTACTCATAAATGTCATTTGATACAGAAATTCACTTGTATCAAGGGAAAACATTTAGTGCTTATTATCAGTAAATATGATACAGACCTTATTAAAGTCGGTTAAGCCCCTCGAAATCAAAAATTATTATTTTTTCACCATAACCTTTTAGGAATGATATAAAAAATGACTTTGGTATAAGCCTAAATTGGTAGAAAATTTGGGTATTAATTTTCATGAATCTCTTAAGGTTATGCCTCACGTGAAAAATATAACTATGTATTTCCACTCTACGCAACTATACCGCAATAACAATTTCTTAACTATAAAACTAAAAAAAAAAAAATATGAATCACTAGTTATGCCAAAAATCACTTTAATATTAACATATTTTGATAAATATTCTTTGTGATTTGCTCAAATTTACAACTTTACCTCACAAAAAGGTTTCCATGTTTATATTTTACTTCTTTGTATAGGTACACTCCTGTTATATTTTATATTCTCAGTCAAGATACTTTTATACAAAATATTTGTATAGCTGTTTTTATACACCTATGTTTTAGACTATTGTTACATTGACATATTTTGTTTTGCGTTATGTATTTCTTCTGCATTTATTTGTTGTGGTGTAATAGCACTGTGCTAAACTTTGCCCCTATTAAAGACGATTATTATTATTATCATTGTTATCATTATTATCGATCTTGTCGCTTTGGTGGGGCGAAATCCAACCCTTAAAACTCAAATGGTATCATCAGACGTCATGTGATACCTCATTTTGAAATTGTTCATTTACTTTGTAGTTCTAGAATATAAAATCACTAACCTTCAAAATGGTAGAACTGGCCGACTGTCAAAGTTTAGTTTTTTGTACATTGAATTGCTTATATCTCAACAACTGTTGCTCAAAACTATGCAGGATTCTATACCAGTCTTCTTCTAGTGGAAGGTTCTATCCAAAAATGTGATAAAATGTGGAATATTCCACTCAAAAACATTGACATAATCATGTCTTATTAGAGCCCTCCAGAAGAAAAAGATTCATATAGCATACTATGACGTTTTGGGCATTAGTTGTTGAGTTATAGGCGATTCAATGTACAAAAATGCTATACTTGACAGCTTGCTAGTTCACCATCTCAAAGGTTAGTGATTAGGGTCATTGAGTACTCATAAGTATCTTCAGAATGAGGTATCGTATGATCCATGATCGCTTTCATGATTTAAGGTTTGTACTTCACACCAGCGAGAAGTTGATAAGCGGAAAATATTTCCCCCTCGAAATAAAAATCAGCCTGTCCGAGCGAATTTTTCTCCCAAATGCCATTCATGATAAATCTGCATGGTATTCTTGCTGCTTGCTCATCCTGTATGCAGGATGACCCAGAAGTCTTGGAACAACAAGATAATTGAGACTATTCAAGTAGTATGGTAAAAGTTTCGTAACAGTTTTTTCCTTTCACTATAGTTATTATCTTGAGTTTAAAGTTGAGACCTTGAATATAATTAATAAGGTCAAACCAAGTTAAAAACAATCTTTGACCTTAATTCAACCTCAAGGATCACCACTGATTAGTCTGCAAGAAATCCGATCCTGATGCTCTGAACCTTTATCTTTCTTCTTCTGCAAAGTGTTAATAGCAAGGATAACATTTTTTTTATGTGGCCATTAATAATTTTTCATTCCGTTTCATAAAAGTTAATAAGGTAAGTGATTTATTGGACAGTATTCGGTATTAGGTATACTTAATCTTAAAATAAACCTACAGTATTTTCTTTTTCAAATGTTTGTATTTTACCTCCTTTTTCTAAGGTTTTTGAAAAGTTCCGATGCCTTGTGTTGTGGTATTTTCTTAGCTACTTAAATGCGCAACTTTTTCCTCATTCAAGCGACTTCGTATCTCTTATTATGCCTAAGATCCCAATGGTGAGAGTCGAATTTGAAACACCGTGTATGCATCGTGCTTTCAACAAAACAAGACCTCGGTGAATCGTACCACGGCGCTTAGTTTTACTTCAAGGACACGTCAGTTTCATGGGACAAACGTAACCACTACCTCACTATGTGCATCAAACCCGTACAGTTCCTAAGAATAGCATAAGGAGATCTCTCCGAGAGGGTGAATAAAACCCTTACCTTTTCCGTTGTGTCCGGGACCTGGACAAATGGACGCACATCAATAAGCTGAATCCGCTCAAGAAATTGATTTTGCAGCCTCCGATAGCCTCTTGAAGGTGGCCGGTCTTCCGAACCCTCGTGGAATTGCGGATTCAATAAAAGAGAATTTACCTAAGGATACGAAGGGAGGGTGGCAATTTTTTACTGGGCTGTGGAACGGGCTTCCGATTGTTGAACTTTGTGTTGATTCTCGGGACGTTTGTCATTATTAGGTCATCGAGAGGGAGAAAACTACGCTCCTCGGTGTACGTGTTGCAGTCAAAACATGTAATAACCGCCAAATGAGGTTTGACCGACGTTGATAGTCAAATCTGGTTTTGACTGACTCAGGGTGCCGACTATCGGTCAAAAGTCACAGTAAGTTAAGATAGTTACTAACATTTATCAGAACAATAATCAAAAAGTTATAATTTAACAATTATTAAGGTGTTTATTGTCCATATAAAAAAATTAATGGATATGGTACGAAACCTGTTAAATATAAATGCGCAGCCATCCGAACTCAATTATTTTTAGGTGGAAACCACTTTATATTTTAGTCTGTGGAGGATAGAGCTGTTTACGTTTGTGGGCTTTGACAAGCTTTCATTTAAATTGACATACTATGTCATGTATGTGATGATACATAATAAATTATCTGTCGCCATTTTGAATTCAACAAGCGGATGCTAAAAAACTGTGATTAATGAGAGAAACGCAATAATCTCCGTGACGTCATGTTAAATCCAATCCAAGAAAAATGTATTTTTGTTTTATTTGATTTTTACTTTTCAGTAGTTATGTCAAATGGCTAGTTTTATAGCGGCCTCGCCTTGACTTAAGTCTGTGAAGGCTTATTTGTGCATCGTTCTTGCCGTGAATAAATTGTGAACTGTCGAAATGAGCGAGTTCGCCAGGTAGTTTTATCTCTGAATGGTTCACTGGTCTCCCGATTATTTATAATCAACAATAAGATAAAATATGCCTAATTTGTGTATCTTATTTTTAAATTAAACTTGATGCTTGCTGATACATTTGCCGTCAGATACTTGAGTGCACCTTTAAAATCTTTGTAATGTTGGGTTATCTTTGTTTACACTTGATGTATAGTATGAAATGGAATACAACTAATCTGTGTTTTTGTTTTCTGTTCAAGTAGACTTGTGCCTCTGTTTTGCTGATATATTTTCGATCAAAATACTTGAGTGTTCCTTTAAAAGATCAGAACAGAGGCTTTTTAATTACATTATGCAACTACAAAGATGTAGAGATTGCCACGTTTCACACATATCGGTATTCTAGGACGAAGGAGAGGACATCTGTTTTGATTGCTGTGAAATGCATTAACCCATAAGTTAGTAATAAATGATACTTTACCATTATGATCTAACAAAATATAAGAAATTGGTTGGAATACATTTAATATCCCATATTCCTGCAAAATATAGACAAACCCACAAATCCGATAATGATAAAATGTAATCGCTCAGTATATAAAGCTAAACAAATTCATGATTACCGTACATTAATATACGTCGAAACATGCTATTAAATTTAATAGCTGGAAATTCGACCAATTACTTTCTTCACTTTCACCGCTGGGTCATTAGATTCGACCTTTATTTGTAAACAGCAACATATGTTACATGACAGTTGTCCTATATTCTCTGTACAAAAGTATAATGTCTTTTTTATAATACAATGACTTTTTCAGGATTTTGTTCAAAATGTCAATAGAAATCACTGATATCCAGAGAGCTTTGACAGCCTTCATCATTCCGCATTACGATAATGTCTTCCCTCATTGGTGGAAGTGATCGCAACATTTTGATGCTGGCGAAACCCTCTCTGACTGTTGAGAATTTATGAGTTTCTTGATTAGCAGGACTTATATCATAAAAATGCATTAGCTACAACTTTGATGCAATGATACGAGGGATGTCTTTTAGAAGATTAATACACATCTGCAGCGCTCGAACCAATTTCCGAAGCACTTATTCCACTCGCTTGCTGGCAGATCCAAAACGGCATTTTTGAAACCGTCAACTGCTTCGTCTGGTGACTGGAACCTTTGACCACGCAGTCTGTTTTTAATTTATGGAAAGTAAAAGAATCGTTAGGACTTAGATCGGGACTATATGGAGGATAGTCCAATAATTCCACGTTTTCTTCCGTTAAATACTGCCTTGTTTTTTGGGCTGTGTGCGAGCTTGCATTGTCTTGTTGGAGGATGATTCTTCCCTCGGGGTTGATTTTTCGAAGCTCGGTGATGACTTTTGGCAAACAAATGGTGGTGTACTAATCCGCAGTAACAGTTCTTTGCTCATTGAGAGGAATTGTTGCAATATGACCCGCTTTTGACACAAATGTCGCGACCATCTTTTTCGAAACATTTCGAGAACGGATGACTTTTGTTGGCTTTTCTTCTCATTGGAACACCCAAACAGCCGACTGTCGTTTATTTTCTGGTTCATAACAGTGAATCCCCGATTCATCACCACTACCAATGCTATACACATTTTTTGAGATTCCGGAATTGAAACGATCAAGCGTTTTTTGACACCAATTAACCCTGGCTGCTTTCTGCTCTTCAGTCAACAGGTGGGGTATCCAAAGAGAAACTAATTTTCTTACTCCTAATTCTTCATGTAATTTTTTTTGAATTGAGGTCTTTGAGATCTTCAAGGACGCCTCAATCTCGCGATATGTCACATGTCAATCTTCAATAATGAGCTTGCGCACAGCTCCGACGTTTTCCTGGGTGTCTGCCGTTTTTGGTGCACCGATCCTGGGATCGTCGCTAAAACTCACCTTCCACGTTTGAATTTTCCATACCAATGGGAAATAGTCGACTGATGTGGTGCTTCGTTGCCGAAAACAGACAGTAGCCCAGCAAGGCACTCTTGTTGCGATAATTGTCTCTGAAGGTTGTAATAAATTATGGCGCGACAATGTTCTCGGTTGAGTTCCATTTTTCTAATCACTTGGTGACACTTAAAAGTTCAGTGTAGCGAGAACACTGCACGTATTGTTGTGAAACTTTGAATTTAAGTTTACTAAAGAGCGAGGTTAAGATTCAGTACTAACGTTCGATCCGCGCGGTCTACCATGTTTCTACATGCAAAACTATATCGTATAACTGGTATCAAATATAGCAAAATTCAGAGAAATAAAAACTTCAAAGTGTCATGTCTCAAAGAGAAGAAATTCAAGTGAACTGAATGGCGTTCGAAATGGCAGCGCTTGTACCTTGAAACGATGTCTATGGTTTGTCACCTAAGTAATTCAGCTTGCTACATAATCTCAAATAAATATATGAAAAAAATCGCTATTGTACACTTTGGTCAAAATATCTCAGAAACAAAAGCCAAATGATATATTTGGAGCAAGTATTCGGATTCAGAGTATCTCTGGGTAAGAATCTTGTTGGCTTTTGAATCCAACAGCCGGACTCTAGATCCTTCAAAAAATTCTGAAAACCTGAAGGTGATGCTTGGGGGTATTTTCG